CACCCAATACTTCATATATTATAAAATTTCTTATTGTATTTTATGTTAATATACAGACATTTGGAAATCCTAACATTAAAATTTGGAAATCTTAACATTTTAAATATTAATACTTTATATTAATAACCTGTTTTATTCTATTTTATGTTAATATACAGAACTTTGGAAATCCAGACATTTAAATTTCAAAATCTTGACAGTTTAAAAACTAATAATTTATATTAATAATTTTCTTTATTCCATTTTATGTTAATATAGAGAAATTTGGAAATCCTAACATTCAAAATTTCGAAATCTAACATTTTAAAACTAATAATTTATATTAATAACCTAATTTATTAGATAATATATATATATTTTTAATTAAACTAATTTGGAAACAATGATATTTTTTTAAAAAAATTAAATTAAATTTATTTTATCTTTGTAAGATGATTTTTGTTACTTTTACTATTTTACTATTAGATTATTATTTTATTTTTGTATAAAATATACTTTATATTTAGTATATCTAACCAGACAATATTGTTTTGTCAAAAAAAAAAATATTTTTGATTTTCTATTTTCTAATAACAGTTAACATTTTTAAGTAAGTTTTAATATTTAATTTTTAGTTAAATTATATTTGGAATATTAATTTTGTTTTTAATATAATTTGGAAACATTGACATTTTCTAAAAATGATACTTTACATTTAGTATATCTAAAAAGACAATAATGTTTTGTCAAAAAAAAATTTATTTTTGATTTTCCATTTTCTTATAACAGNAGTAAATTGTAAAATTTTAATATTTATTTTTTTAGTTAAATTATATTTGGGATATTAATTTCGTTTTTAATATAATTTGGAAACATTGACATTTTCTAAAAATGATACTTTACATTTAGTATATCTAAAAAGACAATATTGTTTTGTTAATATTACGTTTTTATTTTGATTTTCCATTTTTTATAACAATTAACATTTTAAGTAATTTGTAAAATGTTAATATTTATTTTGTTAACTAAGTTATATATGGAATATTAATTTCGTTTTTAATATAATTTGGAAACAATGACATTTTATAAAAATAATAAACTAATATAATGATGTGTCATTATACGATTGGAGGACTTAAATCCTACGTGGACGTCCTCAATGGCTTATAGCCTCAACTTTTATATAGTATAGATTCTTTTTTTTTACTCTTGTTCTTTATTTATATAAAATTAAATTTATTGCAAATAAAATCCAAAACCTTAAGCTTTTCTTTTCTTTTTTCACTTCCTCAGTTGGTGTATCCATCACCGTTATTACCGTAATCCTTGACGTGGAAACCATTGCCAGAGGCAGGTTTTCTGTAGACTTTAAGATGAATGCCTGGATCGTGATGAGTTGCAGTGGAGTTGTAAACAATAGAGTTGTTTATCATCTGAACGTTACTGTTTATAAATGCTTTCATCGGAAGATCCATTTTATTGTTCGTTTTCTTCTTCCCTTCTCCTTCATCACTGCTACTGCTGCTTTGAACTCTCTGTCCATTCACTGAAGAATGTGTTCCTTCTCTGGTTGAAGGAGATTGTACGATCTCCATTACAGCACCTTTGTTTTCACCAGCAATGGTGATGAATCGAGTGCGCATTAGGTTTCCGGATTCCGAAAAATATGACTGATGATGAGTCTTCTTGGTGTTGTTGCCTTGATGATTTGGTTCATGGAGTTGGCTTGTTTGCACGGCAGTGAGAATGTTTTTCTGAGTGGTTTCACGTTCGGAATGCAACTGAGAAGGTGGCAGAGTGTAAGGAGAGAGCACTTTTGGTGGTTGTGCTTTTCGGAAACTATCTGATTCATATTATATAGACCGAGTTGAATGAGCTGGACTCGGTGGTGAAGTTGGTTTTCGCGGTGGTGGTAAGGCTTCCTGAACCTCCTTGGGAGATGGTTGCGGTGTGTATGACGACCTAGTCGGTGTCGACAATGGAGACTTAGCCTTTATTGGGGTAGGTGGGGACGTGTGGCGGCTGGACGGTGAATGATATGGAGACAGCTCTTGAGGAGGTGGAGGTGGAGGAGTTTGCTGACGTGGAGGGGAGGGAGGTGATGTTTTTTTTGTCGGAGGTTTGACCACAACTGGACGGCTAGGGGTTTGTTGAGGTGGAGGAGGTGGGTCGCTAGAGCCTTGTGATGTAGTTCTAGCGATGCTAGAGAGACGGAACCATGGACGAACGTTAGACATTATTATTGTTTGTTTGAAAACACAATGGAACGATTTGGATATGTAACCCATGTTCGCATATATATAGGGAAGCACGAGAAACATGAAAGAGAAAATGTAGATGATGACGAAAGGTATCTGATCCATGCAACAACATTTCCAGCTTGCGAACACTACTTTTTACGACTGGTATCAATCGTTAAGTGTAACTTTCAAGCTTTGTTCATAAATATTTTTTTCACCGTTGAAAGTACTGTTTATATTCTTATTCGTTGCCAGACAATGTCGCAGACAACAAAAGACGATTAAGTCGGCAGAAAAAAACTTAATCATAGTACGTCCTGGAAGGCTCGAACTACTTGCAGAAAACATAAATATGTAAATATTTGCGTCTAAATCTATTTTGGAAATTTGCTCGACCAGCAAAACATGGCAAATGGATTATCGTTTTTTGGGGTAAGATCGTTGCCTCGTTGGCAAAAACTCATGATTTGAGCTTCAGTTTTAACTATACACTTAAGTTGTTTCCACTTGATTTTGCAAGATTGAAAAATTGACCGTTAATTAAAACTGTGGAGAGTAGTGTTTCTCCACTGGTTTTGAGAGACATATTATTCTCGTACTTTTGTATACTTTTAATATGAACGGTTGATATTATATCATTTAGGTTGATTTTGGGGCAAACAGCTTTTTACGCAAGGATTAAAATATATGGTGGAAAAAGGAAACTTTACAAACTCTTATTTATTTATTTTTTTAACAACGGAAACTTTAGAAACTAAAACAGCGAATAGTACTGAGAATAGTATCTATGCTATTATAAGCATCTTCTTCAGCTTTTCTTTTCATGTTCTTAAAGTTTAAACGTACAATGTATTGGTCGGTCACTACTCTAAGACTGAGCCACTAATTATTTCCTTTTAAGAAAAACATACATTTTATATATGAAAAATACACTTTTATATATGGTTCAGATTAAGTGTTACACTTGTAGTTAATCACTGTGATAACTGGGCATCAGAAAGCATGGTAATTCAAGTACCTATCTCAAGCATACGCCAAACTATGAAAATAAATGGAAAGAAGGGATGTTACGAGGCAATACGTTACTAAAAATTAAATCTATTAGAATCATCAACAGTGGAGAAAGAAATATCAACGATACAATGGATATAAATTTTATTATCTAAAGTGATCAGAGAACAGGTCCATAAAAGAATAGAATTCGAAGGAGATGAGCTAAATTCTCAATAGCATCATTAACCGAAGTTTGAAGCTTCAACACTACTACTACACAGGCGCTTTTCAAAGCTGGTGATTGAACAGTAACGGGCCGGTTGCAAAAAAAAGGCCCAAATAAACATAATGGTCAATAATAATAAAACGCACGCACCATAAAAGGTGTGTCAGTAACGAAAGCTTTCTCCGTCTTCTTCCTCGAGCTTCGTCGTCGTCGTCATCTAGGGTTTTTCTGTTTCTGAGATTCTTCAAGGTAAATCTTAAATTTCCCGGGAGAGGACGGTAATTCGAATATGTCCGATACTTTCTGCGATTGTAAAGTTCTGATCATTTTCGATTAGCAGAAAATCGTTATGAGGCCGGTGTTCGTCGGGAACTTCGAGTACGAGACTCGCCAATCGGAGCTGGAGCGGTTGTTCAGCAAATACGGAAGAGTCGAGCGAGTTGACATGAAGTCTGGTACAGTACATAGCCTTCTTCTCTCAATTAATACTCTTTTCATGTAAAAGACAAGTTTGTTCCCTTTGATCTAGGATTCTTGAATTATGAGGCTATTGATTTAGTGCTGAGCTAATTCATAAAGGAACCATTATTAGTCTTTACCTAGAGATGAATCAAGAAGTTGCTCCTATGTTACATTTGATTTAGGGTTCTTGGTTTGTGAAAACATTGAATTAGTGTTGATAGAGAATTTAAAGTAGAGATGAAGAGTTTTTTTTTTTGTTGTTGTTGTATTTTAAGTGTTTGTTTGGTCGCAGGAGGTTTCTCTCCAAAGGAGCATTGAGTTTCCTGCAAATTATGTTTTCATGCCTACCTTTATCATCTTGTGCCTCCTACAATCTTCGCTCAGTCTCTAGAGATTTACTTCATCATCCATTGCCTTTGTTTCTCTTCATGCCTTTCCATATCTCAACTCTCCTCCTCCTACTACTACTACTACTGTCAGAATGGTGAAAGCAATGCGTTTGCAAATCATTCAGAATTTTAGAAATTTTGGACTTTTGATTGACTACAACTACACATCTTTGTTTCCTCTGCATCTTATGTACAACCAGCCTTCACATTGATGCAGGTCTTGTATGTTTTTATTTAGTTTCCATTTTCTCCAGGTTCTCTGTCTTTTGAGCTGTCTTAACTCCTGCATTTGCTATTCTGTGGCTGGGAAAACAGTTTGTCGATATATGCTCTTATGTTTTCTTACCTTGTGTGTTTTTGTTTTTATTTTGCAGGTTATGCTTTTGTGTATTTCGAAGATGAGCGTGATGCTGAGGATGCAATCCGTGGGCTTGACAATATCCCTTTTGGCTATGAGAAACGCAAGCTCTCTGTCGAATGGGCTAAGGTATCTCTCTCTTTCTCTTTTCCTTCCTATGACTTATATGCTCTGTTTTTTTTTCTTAAGAGAGCTCTAAGTTTTCTTCCGGCTTTCAGGGTGAACGTGGGAAGCCTCGTGATGGAAGGGGAGCCTCGAATCAGAGGCCTACAAAGACACTCTTTGTCATCAACTTTGACCCTATCCGCACAAAAGAGCGTGACATTGAGAGGCTTTTTGAACCGTATGGTAAAGTTCTCAATGTCCGCATAAGGCGCAATTTTGCATTCGTTCAGTTTGCAACCCAGGAAGATGCAACCAAGGCCCTTGAATCTACACAAAACAGGTAACAACTCTATTACCTTTCTTTTTATCTAACAGATAGTGATTGACTAACTTGATAAGCTCTCCTTTTGGCAGCAAATTAATGGACCGGGTTGTTTCTATTGAGTATGCTTTGAGGGATGATGATGAAAGAGATGATAGATATGCTCCTAGTCCGAGAAGGAGATCTCCTAGTCCAGTTTACCGGAGGCGTCCCAGTCCTGATTATGGCCGTCCTCGCAGTCCTGAATACGACAGGTACAAGGGTCCAGCTCCTTATGAAAGACGTAGAAGTCCAGATTATGGGCGTCGTAGTCCAGAATATGGTAGAGCTAGGAGCCCAGGTTATGACAGATACAGAAGGTAACAACAAATACTTGGCTATCATCGATTAAATTTCATTGGTTTCTCTAGTTGTCTGAATGTTTGTGTTTTTTTTAACAGCCGGTCTCCTGTTCAGAGTGGAAGAGGTTGAAGATGTTTTTCCTCAATGTGGCTCAGAGTGGTTGGAGGTTCTCTATGTTAGTCTGAAATTAGAACGTGTTTTCACCAGTTGCTACCCCTTGAATATGGTAGTGTGCTTGTAGTAGCTTATAACGTTTTGAAATGATTTCAAGGTTTGGATTCTCTCTATAAAATCAATCAGTTTTCAGGTCCAAAAGTACTTTTTATATTAAAAAACATTTATAAGTTTAGGAGAAAGAAAGATAATACACAAGAAAAGGTTCTTCAACTTCAAGGCAGAGAAGAGTGGTTGTGATTGCAGAGTTCTTGGCTGATTGCTTTCTCCAGCCAAGTCTCTGCATCTTCCATCATCTCAGGGCTTAACCGGACCATGAGAACGCAGAACTCGGTTTGGTTAAGAGCTCCATCACCGTCAATGTCTCCTTCTCTAATCATTCCTTCTGCATCTTCCTTGCTCATTCCTTCAATCCCAAGTACCCCTGAGTTTCTCCTTAGACTCTCAGCTGTGATCACATCTCTCTCTGGGTCAGCTAGCAAACTGAAACCTTTGCATAACTCTTCTACAAACTCTTCTACGTCCATTTTCTCCGCCATGATTGGTAACATATCTTCGTACTTTGTCTCCATCTTCGTAGCATTGGTTGTTGTTTCTAGTACACAAGCTTTCTTGCTTGGTGGTTCCATTAGAGGAGGAAGATGATGATCAGTGAAAGAGAGAGAGAGAGAGAGAGAGAGGGGATTTTGTGAACTGTTTTGATTGGATTAGTCCCAATGGGATTTAGATATATAAGTGAGTGGCGTATCTCTACCGATATGGTTGTCACGTTCGAACCTTAATCGTGTGGTCTATAAACTCTCTTCTTGAAACCGTCCCTGTTTGATTCTGAGAGTTGAAGCAATGAACGGATGTGATTCAACTCACGATGATTCGTTTTAGGTGTGGACGGAAACACCTGATTATTAAGAAGTTTCCTAGCAACTTCGAATGGTGCCGTGAATACGACGTATTCCCACTCTTATCATGATGTATATATTATTATCAAATCAGAAAAGAAGGTGTTGACAAAGAAGTGTGTAACTTCGCAGAAGTTTCGTTTTCTTGATTTCTTCTATCGGATCTTTCGATCTTTTTTTTTTTTTTTTTTGGTGGTGTTCTGTTTATGAATTGGATTCTCACATATAACGACATAATAAATTTGTCTCTTTCTCCGACCAAGTCCTAACTGATTTGACGTAACTGTAATTTCTTGTCTGAATTTGAGATGTTACTATTGTTCGTTCATACACTAGGAGTAAAGTTAGAAAGATCTAGTTCAAGTAATGTTTGTTAATACTACGAATGGCCAACTCCAAGTTATAATAATAAAACGTTGAAACACGCATAGAGGGATACAAGGTGGCCAACTCCATAATTGTTGATATGTATTTGCTCTGTTTTAATTTGGTCCAGGCAACTCAAATATACCTCTAACTCTAAGGGAGAGCCTACTACTAATAGGCAGAGTTGAGTTGGATGAAAACATGGTTCAAAGAACATGCTTACTAAAATTACTATCATGTAGGACATATATATATACTCCCATTTGTTATTGTTACACGTCATTTAACATGCTTACTAAACAAACTTACTATCATCTATAGAGTTACAGAGTGGACATACTCCCATTTGATATGTTAAATTCCTCTAACCTTCCTAGAAGTCACCATTTTGAATTTGGGGTCATGCCCTTTAGCTACTTTCCGAATTCTTTATCCTGAAAGAACACAACTTTCTATTGGATGTTTTTTTAATTATATAGTTGACTCGATCCATTTGAGTTATACTAATATTTATTGGTATAAAGCGAGCATGCGCAGATAAGTCTAAGATTTGTTATACATCAAGAGAATATGGCGTTTGGTTTATATTTCCTTTAAAATATGTGAGAATTTCCCAATTAAGTCTTTGTGTCTATATGCTAGTCATTGATAATTCGAAGACGTAAAGAGCTTTAACAGGGAACTACTGTCACAAAAAAAAATTCGTGTTTAGTTGGGTTGGTGGACACTATGAGTCTATGAACAGATATATATATGAAGTGGCGTCACGCAGTTCATGTCATCAGCTAGTCATCATATAATTAGTAGTAGACAAACACAAATATCTTTATTATTCGTCTTCGAAAAATAGAACGTTTATAAACATTTTAACAACGGTTTCGATGAACGTGAATTTCCTGTTTGTCTGAGTTTACATAACTTTCTCATTATAATATTCTGTTCATGGAATCGAATTATCATTACTAAGTAAATGCAATGTCACGTACGGGCGTGAAGAAAAGTTAGATTCATTTAAGAAACGAAAGCTGCCAAGATCCATCATTTAACTTATTACTCTCTCATATTCCTCCTTACTCATTTCAAATTCACCCATGCGATGCTTTTGGTATTGGGTAATCATAACTATTTTCTAGATCTTATATAGTCATATATACATAAAGTACTATAATGTAACATTCAGGATCTCTATAATATTATTTGAGAAGTCAGTTTCCTATGTGTCGCTCTCACGTTCATTCTCACGATTGTTGATTACATTGATACCCTTAATGAATTAAAAATAGTTAAAAATACTATTATTAATTCTTTTATTTTTAGTTTTTCCTTTTCAAAAATTTTCAAAAAGATATGTAATAAAAATGCAATTTTTTATAAAGTCATAAAAAACAAATTTAAAACGAAAATATATGTATATATAATATGATTTCATAAAAAAGGAAAGTTGACAAAATGGTAATAATACATTTAAAAATATTTTTAAAGAACATAAAAATATGTATATATAATATAATTTCATAAAAAAGGAAAGTTCACAAAATAGTAATAATACATTTAAAAATATTTTTAAATAACATAAAATATACTTTTAGAGTAATAAAATAGTTTATAATTAGTGTTATTGAATTTTTATTTATTTTTCATATATATAGTTGACTATAATATCTTTCAATTACAGAAAATTATCTAGAACTTATATTTTACTTATATAATATTATTTTCAAATACAATCACAATTTTGTGTAGTGCTTATTTTTAAGAGATATTAAAAACTAAAAATAAATTTAACAATAAACATCGTTTGGTCAAAATAATTGTTCTAATGAGCTAGATATATGATATTTTATC